TTTTACATATAACAAATTGGTATATTTAAGAACAAATACATTTAAGATTAAAAAAAAATTGAAAAATTATATGAATGAGTACAACTACAAATAGGTGGTGTAGTCGATAGAGGGATAATTTGGAGTTTTAAGACTACAAATAGGTGTAGTTTAGTAATTGAATAAATTCGGCTGAAAACGCTTTTGAAAATTTTGTAAACAGAAAATTTTAAAATTAAAGTGCTTTTAATCTTCCAAAGGAACATTCAAATGAGTTATTTAAAACCCATAAACATTTTTAGTTGAATCTGTCAAACGCTGAGCTTTTAACCCTTTTAAAAATAATTGCAAACATGTCCCAAGCTTAACTGATTAATCAACTCAGTAACGCTCAACTGATTAATCGACTCGGTTACTGAATCCACGATGTCACCGCTTATATCTGTCCAGTGTGAATTCAAGAGCCACTAAACTAATGTGTTGCACTTGCACATCGGCAGGCTAAGCAAAAACTAATCATATTCTCAGCAGCTTCTGGTTGTCATCTTAATTTGGACTGATACGTCTGTGCAACAAGGAATTTAAATTACGATTTTTTTTTTGTTGAACAAACGATATTATCTATCTTAAGATAGTGAGAAAATGTGTCAAGTCTCATACTGAGTTAGCTATAATAATGCAGTTCAAATTGATGTACTTTGTAATCAGATTAGAGGTAAGTCATCTTAACAATTTATAACATGAAAAATGTATAGTCTAGTCTTGTACATGGTAGTGTGACTAATTCACGTTATATTTACGGTTAGAAATCAACTCGTATGACCAATCGAGCACTCATCGTTTAACATTTGTGGCACATATCGCGATCTCAAGTTGAGTTAGTGCACAATTATAACATAATCTTTTATCCCATGACTCAAGCTTAAGACTTGAGTAAATTGTGTTTGACCTGACGACAGGCTTGGTTCTTGAGTTGAAAAATGAGAAGACTCCCATGGCATGTTGATAGATCAAACTCACGATAACAACACAACTATTGATACTTATCTTGTGAAAATACACAACGTCAATTTCATTACATCTTTGGAAATATTTTCTTTGCACTGACTTTGTGCACTACAATATTCCACCTCCAAATTGTGGTAGCAGGTCAAAATCAACCCAATTTTTTTTCATACTTTGGTCTCGCGCGCGCGTCCACACACACACACACACACACACATATATATATATATATATATATATATATATATATTATTTTTCACTATATAAGAGTAAAGTGACATTTTTGTACCACATTTGACAAATAAGGCATATATATAACAAAAATCTAATAAGATAAACTCATAAAGTGACATAACACATATACATCACATGTCATACCAGATGGTACAACAGTGCATACAAATTTGTGGTTGCTATAGTATTTTTTTTTTTGTTAAAAAAAAGTTTAGGAAGAGGGGAGGCTACCCCATTTCAGGGGCAGCACATGCCACAAACTTCCTTGAGAACTTTTTATAAAAAACTAATGGTACAAACTTATTCTAATTTTATTTTGGAAATGTTTTGAATTGAAAATTAATTAAGAGTTTAATAAAGGTGTGAGTATTAAAAACCTAAATCAACTACTAATTTTTATTTAAAAAAATAATGTAATCGACATATAAATTCATTATTACATTAATGCTAGGGACTTTGATAAAAAACTGAAAACTAATAAGGTCTCAGTTAATGAACATTAATAACTAGGAAACACTCAAACGGATACTAAATATCTCAAGTGAAAACAAATCTTATGAATAATCAAGCATATATATCTGAAAAAATATTTGAGATTCAAGCTCTATATATCTTCAAAACAAAATGGAGAAGTAGACAATTATATAGACAGAGAAGGAGAAGACAGCAACAATATGCTACCATGAGAGAAGAGGAGAAGCCTTTTCTACTACATAACTCCTCAAGCTCGCAACTGCTCCTAATATGGCAGATGGTGTTGTGTATTGCAACAAAAGAACGAATCGATACAATTGATCATCGGCTACCAAAAGGTTCAATTTATCCGAAAACGGAACCACACCAATCCCAAAGGAAGTACCGAAAGCCTTACAACAATGATCCTAATTGTAGTCTCATTCCTAGATTGGATTCGTTCGGATCTTCTGCGAGCATTCCTCCAAGAACAAGCACAGCTGAAGGCACCATGGCCTCAACTACAATTTCCAAGCTGTTTGTGATTCCAGCTGCTGCTGCAAGGCCCAGCAAACGGGCTAGGCATCGGCCGACGATGGCCATATTTTGGCCTAGCGATCTCCACTGATTTTTAGTTCAGCCTTTGACTGGAGTTGGATTTTGTCTAAATTAGGCATTTTGTCTAAATTATTTCGGCTACTCTATTCCAAGGTCAGAGCATACCACAAGCTTTTTGGAGGATTTATGGAGAGAGTCTTAGCCCATCAAGAGGAGTTGCCAGTATTGGGACTCGAATCTACATCTTGATTTAAAGAAGAAAACGATCATTACCAACTCAACTGGGAAAACCAAATTAGTGTATGTAATAATTGTATTTTTTTGGTTGGAAGTAATTGTAGTAAAAGTCAAGACCGCACCAACTACACGTCCCCAAACAAAATAACACACCATAAGACGAACAAGATTATCGGTGAAACAAAAGGCAAAGGGAAAAAACAGGCAAAGCCTAATACCACATAGCAAATTATAAATTATCATCATTAAGCGTGGAAGATTTATTTAGTTATTTTCATTCTCTATCGCAATTTCATTTTATGGCTAATCATAATAAATTCGTGTTGAACTTGTTATTCATAAGAGTCGAATCTAATACATCGCACAAAATATAGTAATAAAGGAAGAAATCATTATTTATTTTGTTATTTACTTTTTATACCAACGATATTGAAGAAAAATGGATTCAAATTAAAGTTTCAAACAGAAGGCGAGAGGTGAAGTGGACATTGGTGTCGATTTATATATAAAAAATTTAGAATCAGCATTGTCGCACCTTGTAAGCAAGGCCTCTTAATTTTATATATATACATGTATATAAAATTTGTTTTCATCACTATATAACTTAGAAGTTCTAAATATTTGCTTTGACACGCAATAGCCTGCTTTTTTCTTGCTTGGAACTAAAAGTAATGCACCAAATGCATTCTTTTTTTTAGACGTAACGATAATATTTTATTATAATATTAGGAGAAAATTCGAGATAACATGACCTCAATCAAAGAAAAACAGCGGCACCAAATGCATGCTTAATTCATTATTAACATCTACCATCTCCCATACATACAGAGTTAAATTTACCTTTAGTGGTCAATTCTTGTTCATTAAAGTGACATAAAGTTGAATTTAAAATCAAATATAGCTTTCGTAATTTCTAAGTACTGGCTTGGAATTGTGGTGTTGTCAATAATAGTATAAAAGTATAGAAAAGCATACTAGGGTCTACTATGCTTTTGAAAGAAGTGTTGTTGGTCGCACAATCACAACAAGTGGTCCAATGGAAAAAAAATGAGAAAACCAGCTCCCTAAAGGAAAAAAATGGGAGGTCTTGAGTTCGATACTTAATAAGCTGTGAATCTACTTAATTGTGGCCACATCCCATAGGTAGGGTGCAATTCCAACTAGCCTCTTCTGAGCCTGCAGGAGGAAAACCGCATTTCACCACCAGTTGACTTATTTTTTTTTTTTTTATTTTATTAAAGGTTGTGGGTTGCACTTTTTACTTTTTGAGTTACATCCAAATTTAAATATAACTTAGCATATAACTCCAAAGTCACTTCAAATTTTGTGATGCATCGTAGAGGGACTGACAAATTTAGAGTCAAATACATTTGACTCTAAATTTATCGGCCTATTGGAGATGCTCTTATGGGTTAGACTACATAGAATTCAAAAGTTATAGAATCTTTAAAGGTGGTGCTATCCATTTTACCTTTCACACACTCCTCTTCAATTTCCGACAGTCGAATTGAATAAATTGAAGATATTCAAATAACATAAATTAACAAGAGGTATGTAAACATCATTATCCTTTTTAAATGATGATTACGAAAATAAATGGATTTGACTATGAAATTTGTATAATGCAAATGGATAAATGCAAGAGGTGGACAAGGTGGTTCCTTCATGAAGTGGATGCAATATAAAAAAAAAAAAATAGAGTAACTAAAAGTCATCTGAAAGTAATTATTTAAATTAATTTTCTTGCAATTGTAACTAAATTTTAGCATAAACATAGAGAGTTGTTAGAGTTGCACAATGTACTACTATTATACAGATCATATCAAGATCTCAACCGTGTTATAATATTTTAATCAATTTACATTTGTGCTTACTCTAAATAAACTTTATTTATCACCTACCACATCCTTCATTAATTGAATTATTATTATTTTTTAATCCATTAATTGGATTATTTGGTAGTTAATAAATTAATTTTGCCAGGAGTTGTTAGAGTTGCACAATGCACTACTATTATACAGATCATATCAAGATCTCAACCGTGTTATAATATTTTCATCAATTTACATTTGTGCTTACTCTAAATAAACTTTATTTATCACCTACCACATCCTTCATTCATTGGATTATTATTATTTTTTAACGCATTAATTGGATTATTTGGTAGTTAATAAATTAATTTTGCCAGTTAGTATTATGGTCTAGTGGTATTCATCTTCACTTGTAAGTGAGAGGTCTTAGGTTCGATTCTAGCTAAAAGCGAATTTAAACCACATTACTATTAGCCAATTGTTAGGCTAAGCACATCCCCCTCCCTCTTAGTGTAGATAATATTGTTTGTCAAAATAAATTAATCTTTGTTAATTTGTTGAGGATTAGAGTATTTCTGATAAAATACTTAGTTGTTGACTGCAATGCCTCTTGACTTTGTGTCGCATGATAAATGCTTGAGTATTTTATGAATTTACATGCCTTAATCTTTACCACGATCCTTTTTTTTAATTAAAATCCCATGTTATAATTTATATAATTATGTTAAATTTAATCAATTCAGTAACCTCTCTCTGCCACAAAAACTAGTGATTTCCTTGGTCTAATTAATCATCATTCCCATGGCTTTCCAAAAGTTTTGGAATGCTTTCTTCTTCTACCTCTCAACCGCATCAACAATTTTCCATACTCTCTTATCTTTTTTCCTCAAAACCAACTGGGATCTAGTGTTCTTCAAACTCCCAGATACTCTTGTAGCTTTATATTTCAGGCTATGTGGTCTCTCTCCTTGTACAGTCGACGTTGACGACCAAACCACAATGCACTTCTGGACTGCCAACCACCGGCGGTTTGATAAACCCGGTCTCGTTCTGGTTCACGGCTACGGAGGCAATTCTCTATGGCAGTTTGTGTGTCATGTGGGTGCCTTGTCCAGGAACTTCAACTTGTACGTGCCGGATTTGCTGTTCTTTGGGAAGTCTTACACGAACCGGTTGGACCGGAGCGAGGTATTCCAAGCGAAAAGTGTTGTGGACGGGTTGAAGAGATTGGGTGTGGACCGATTATCGGTTTACGGTCTGAGCTACGGTGGGTTTGTGGCGTATCGGATGGCTGAGATGTATCCGGAGACGGTGGAGAAGGTTGTGATTGTGAGTAGTGGGGTAGTGTGGACGGATGAACAGAAGGATGAGCTGTTGAAGGTCGAATCAGATGCTTTGGAGATTCTTTTGCCAAGAAGTCCACATGATCTACGGTTGTTAATGAACCGGTCTTTGTACAAGTATGATGTTTTCAAGTGGGTTCCTGACTTTGTCCTCGGCAGACTCATCAAAGTATAGTTTTTCTGTCAAACATTGTTCGAAGTGTTTTAATTTATTTACAAAACGCTTTCAGTTTTTGTTATTGGAAATAAATTTCCCAATCTTATAGAGCGTGACATTTTTATAGGCCAACGATGAACACAGAAAGGAGAGAATGGAGCTACTTGAACACTTGGTGGCCAAGAAACAAGATTCAAACCTTCCTATTCTAACTCAGGTAACAAGAGCTTATACGTTTAATCTTTGTTTTTTTAATCCATTCATCCAAAAATTTAAGGTTTTAATTTTCTTGAACGCAACTTCTGGCTTCCAATTTGTAATTACAATTTTATTTAATTTAATTATGTGAAGGAAACGCTAATAATTTGGGGCGACAAAGATAAAGTCTTCCCATTGTTCTTGGCCCATCAGTTGCAAAGGTACATAATTTGATTGTTTATTATTTTATTTTTTGAGTTAGGTACATAATTATAAGTTGCTGATGTTCTAAGAAGGGGTTTAAACAAGGATTTATTTTCCTAATTATCTTATATAATTACGGATTTATTTGCTTGAATCACACGATGGTGGCCAGGGGAAGCTGAAATACAGTCCTCCTGGCTCTTGAAAATGTGGGCTGCCGTGGCAAAGCAACCGGCTGGTCCTTTTTTTTTTTTTCAAAAAAAACAAAAAGAGGATTTGTTTGGTTTAGTTTCAATATATATGGTACTTACAAAGCTTCTTCTATATATGCTTCTTCCAGGCATTTGGGTTCCAAATCAAAATTAGAGATAATCAAGGACACAGGTCATGCAGCAAACTTTGATTCACCGGACACAATCAATGCATTGATAAAATCATTTGCTTTGGATGGTTATCCCCCCAATATTATTGGAATTCCGATGGAGGTCAAATGAAAAGGTCTCATCGAAACATGGTTTATTGGTCACAGGCCATACAGTTTAGAATATTCTAAACCGAATACGTTGTTTATAAAGTTGTCGTTGGAGTGATTATGCCATACTCGGAGATATATTTCCGTTTCAGTATCTCACTCATTTGGCTTTGTAAAATTTCATGTATTGGTTGTGTGTTGGCTTGAGCTTAGGGTTTGGAACTAATGCAAGGCAGGAGAAGCATGAATTTGCTGTTATCCATAATTTCGGGAAAATGTATTTATTGTATCGACAACCAAACAATAAGGTTTGGTATTATAAAGTATTAAATATTAATTGTTGGAATGAGCAATTTTCTATATAAACAATGGAATGAAATTGACATTCTACTTAACTAAATATTATCTTCATAATAAAATAAAAAAAATAAAAAAACTGAGTATTATCTTAATGTTGGAATATCACATAGTGGATATAAATTAAGAAATGCAAAAAATTGAATTCAGAATTTTATAAACCCTAAAGCTAACTTGAGTTAATTCCATCTCCTAAAAGGTCAAAAGAAGTGCAAGTGGTGTTACCGTACATTGTTTTTCATTTTTTTCCTCTCAACATATCATATCATATATTAACAAACTGGTTTTTTTTTTTTTTGAAAGAAAATAAATTAAAGAGAAAAACCTCGAGTACAACCGTTCCCTATAGAATCAAACTGAAAAGCATGAAGAGCAAATGAAGGAATACAATGGTCCCAAATATGATAATCAGTAATAAGAAGGCCTTGGCGAGCGAATGCATCCGCTACAAAAGCCTCTCTAAAAATATGTTTCCTGTCAATGCAATCAAAACTGGTCGCCATCCCATTTTTACACACTCCTTATTAATTTTTATCCGTTGATTTTCTTCAATTTATCTGATCCGACAGTCGAAAATTAAAGGGGTATGTGAAAAGTAAAATAGGCTGTGTGAATATCACACCCCTTACACAAATCTCTTGTGTTTGAGACAAACACCCTCGAAGGTATCAAAACAATAATAAAAAATAAAAAACCCCTAGCAACCAACCCTCTCCAAGCATCCCTCCCCTCAAGGTTCTAAAAAACGCTAGACGCTAGTCGGGCTGGGACCTAGTGCCTAGGAGGCTATGCGGGCGCCTAGGAGGCCTAGGGGGATTTAGGTAAATTTCTTATATATTTTATGAATTAATTAAATTTACTATATCAAATGTAAATAATTATTGACTAATATGTTATTTCTTATTGAAGAACATACATATGTGAATGTTTTATGTTTTATGTACATATATAATTTGCTTGCCTAGGAAAAAAACAAAATATTATCTAAATAATTTATAATTTATATAACATATATATATATATATATATAATATATATATATATATATATCCCAAACTTTTAAAAATATAAAAAGCCCACAAAGTGGGTGGTCTTCATTATTAAAACCATCAACACCTTTAGACCCAAAAAAAAAAAAAAAAACGATCGGCACCTCACCTCTTTCACATCACCCGTCCACCACCTTGGGTCCATGGTTTCAATATAAAATATATATTTGAGATCTTAGTCCATCAAAACCATCATCGTCCATGGTTGTGATAATTAAAGGGAGTTTCAATGAAATGGGCTTGGGTCAACAAATATTTAATCAAAAACCATCCGAAAATGTCATTTAACCAAAATGGCTCAAAGTTTAATAAAAAACCATCCAAAACTATTGTCTACCTTTTTCGTGCCCTTATCGTCTTCTTCCTCGTCATTGTCCTCATCCTCATCCTCTTATCTGCACCACGAACAATTTATAGTGTTAGTATTTTATTCCACTTAGATCCAATAAGGACCTACGGTCCCGGTGATGTACGTACATCTCAGGCGTCTGTAAATAGGGAAAAAAGAAAGAACCAAAACATAAAACTATTTATGGAGAACCCAAAACATAACATTGTTTCAGGAAAAAAAAAATTAGATACAATGTTTGTTTTTTTTTGTGCACAAACAAACACTGTATCTGGAAAGAAAAGAACCAAAATCCAAAAACAGTGACTTAAATTCCAGAAACAATGACTTAGATTCCAGAAACAGTGACTTAGATTCCAGAAACAGTCTATGTTTTAACCTTTGATTGTTTCTTTTCTTTCATGTATCAGTTGATTATATTTAAGAAACATGATGCTTATTTTGCTTTGAATCCAAATACAATGAATTTCATTATTTCTTTTCTAGCTTACATTTAAGAAACAATGTGTCTATTTCATTTGGATCCAGAAACAATGACTTAGATTCTAGAAACAGTAACTTAGATTCCATAAGCAGTGACTTAGATTCCAGAAACATTGTTACTTAAAATCCAGAAACAGTTAATTTTTACAGTTTAGAAACAGTGACCCGGCGTTATTATTGAATAACATGCAGATCTCAAATTTATTTTCTAGATAAACAAATGATGAACTGCACTAACGAAGAAAAATTGAAAAACAGTACCTTGAATACTTTATGAATAATAACGACAATCACGTTTCAACGAAATAATACAAAATATAAATTAAATAGCATGAGGATCTATATTTTTGTTTCAAAGAAAAAGAAGAAGATTTGCAAAACAACGATGAACTCATTAACGATGAAAATATGGAACTCAACCTAAAAAAGTTAGGGGTAAAATCGACAAATCATAATTTATTATAGTTAGGCCATTTTTAGTTGGACTACTTTAATATGGGCATTGTACTAATCATTGAACAAAACTTATAACATGGTTTTTTTTATTAAAACTAAAACTTTTCAAGTCTTTTTCATTAGTTTTCCTATAATTAAAACCATCAACTTTTCCTTGGATTTGAGATCCCAGTCCCTGCCCTCACGTATTGAAATGTTTCAGACTTTCAGTCTCTCTTTTTTCTCTCTTCGCACTCTTTCTTCCCTCATCTTCACAGACGAGTTGCAAAACAGACCACATATTGAAATGTTTAATTGTCTCTCTCTGTGTCTCTTTTTGCACTCTCTCTTCCTTCATCTTCATAGAGACAAGTTGCAAAAATTCACCGGTAATCTCTCTCTTTCTCTTCCCTCATCTTCACAGAGACGAGCTGCAAAAATTCGTTAGAGCTCTGCTACTACGTACAAGATTAGAAGTTGTACATCTGTTGGGAAAATTGTAGCAAATTTGAGATTTGCAGCGAGATTCAAACTGCCTAGACTGCCGCCTAGCCTGCCTCAGGGCGCCTAGGCGGCCGCCTAAGTCCTCCCTGCCTAACTGAATGTTTTGGTCTAAATTGGGTTGGAGCTCCTCCGCCTAGCGCCTAGGCTAATTTTTAGAACACTGCCTCCCCTCACTGCTTTGCCATGACTTCCGGCAAACCCACCCCCCCCCCCCCCCCCCCCCCCCCCCAAAAAAAAAAAACTGATTTGCCATGGCTTTTGGCAAACCACATTCTAAAGCACGTCCTAAAGGAGCGCATGATAATGGGTTTCTCTACAAAAAGTTGAAAAGTGTTTCTTTAGGAATTAGAAAATAATTCTGCTTAAAAGCGGTTCTGCTATTGACACTTTTATTCAAATCACAACGATTACAAATAGTGTGCTTCCTAAACAAACACTGAAAAGTTCTTCTCTAGAAAGCTTTGAAAAATGCTTTAAACATGTAAGCACTTCTACGTAAGGGCTAACAAAAATGTTTTTGATTAGCTGAGAACATTTTTAGTCATTTCAAGGACAACGGACAAGTTTGGGCATTTCAATTAGCAAGCATCAAACTTCTAAATTAATCCACTTTTAATACTTGGATGCTGAAATTTCAGCAATAAAATGTCAAAAGTGGATCATTTTAGCTAGAAGGCAGCTTTACCGGCTTAGTTGTTTGTTTCGTTTGTTTGGGTTTGTTTTTTTTTATTTTTTTAAATATGGGCCTTGTTTGGACAAAAAAAAATTATGGGCCTTGCTTATTGAGACGTATCAGTCCTTGAGGCCCAAAATAAAAAATAAAAATTGCCACCAGTCCCGTAAAAGTCGTCATTGTGCGCTAAATTACAAAATGACCCATGGTCTTTGAATTAATCTACTAACCGCCAAAGTTCCAAACCGCCACCCCACCACGTTCGCTTTCAACACACACTTCCGAATGTAAACCAAACGACAACCACCGTGATGTCGTCGCCAGTGCCAGACAATGTCTTCGTCTCCCAAGTCTCCCGATTCGTCCTCTCCTGGGACGGCGCCGTTCTGGGCGTCTCCCTAGCTTGCGCCGCCGTGCACTCCGTCCTCAATTTCACCTCCACCTCCTCATCCCTAAGCAAGCTCCGTGATGCCCCCGCCGTCAAAGTCTCCGATCTCCGCTCAATCCTCCCCCTCGATCAATCCGACAAGCTCGTCGTTGTACGCGGCACCGTCGAAGCCAAGTCCGCCGTCGACGGCACGTGGACGAGCCTCAAGTCCGGCTTACTCATCTCTAAAGAAACAAATCACAGAGCCGTCGTCGTTGACAGTACTAAAACGGTGCGTTTGCTTTCTTTCATGGCTCAGAAAATTCAGTTTCTGTTATTTCTTGCGGTGTGTTTGGATGAAAAATTGAATTCAGAATTGGTTTGTGCAGTGTATAGTTCAGGAGTGGAAGGGCTTAATCGGATGGTCGTCTGATTTGAGAGCGATAATTTGGAGGTATTGGAGAGAGCACGAATCCAATTTGGTCAGAAAGGTACTCGAATGCCTTAATTTTTCAGTATTTTCTGTGAATATTGATGGTAATTTAGTTTACTTGAATGCATTAAATTATGAAAAGAAATGGTAATTTTGATTTCATATTTGTGTAGGTTCCTTTCGTTCTTGTTGATGGTGATCAATGGCCGATTCGGGATATTGTGGTTGTGAATGTGGAAGGATCAAGGCATCCTTTACCTCTTACGATAGCTTATCATCATTTGCAACCTGTACATGCTTCTCCCTATTCTTTCTTGGAAGCACTTTTTGGCACTAACTACCCTGTGAGTTTTGCAAGGTTTTGCTTTCAATGTGCTTTTTAGCATCGGAGTTATTTGCTTTAGCGTTCTTTAGCTTATCAATTTTTGTTTCCGATTTGAAGGTTGCTTTCCTCAATGTTGAGAAGATTCTTCCAGTGGGAAAGGAGATTAGTGCTGTAGGTCTCTGCAGTTTGAGAAATGGAGTCCCGGAAATCAAGTCATGCAAGGATCTTCCCTATTTTCTGTAAGTGGGTTTATTCTTCAGCATGTTCTCTTCCGTATTGTAGTTGGATATGAGAAAAGTCATTATTTTACTCTTGGCAAATACTTTTGGTGTCTAAGACTTCTTTTTTTTCGGCGTTAATATGTGTGGGAT